AAGTTGGTCAACATCAGAATCCGAATCGAATGATTCGAACATTGACGAATATGACATACATGATTTTTGTTATTAGGCGTAAATAAAGAATTATAATATAACATATACATGACTTAATCTTTTACCACTTCACCTATATCAAGTTAATCCATATTAAATGCATAAATTAAAAAACGAATAAAATTAAAATTACAAATTTCTGTTTTTTTATTTATAATATCAATTTTACAATACTTTTACGATGTTTTTGCTGTAATTTAACACCTGAATCGTAAGCAATGACTTCGAAAACCAAATTACATGAGATTTCACTTCATATTTTCAATTCTGGCCGCCATTTTGGATCCGCCATTTTGAATTTTGAAAATCTGACCTCAGATTCGTAATCAGCGACCTCGAAAACCCTCGTACAGGTAATTTGGGATTTTTGGCCACGAAATCGGGACTTTGCCCCACTGTGGGGCGCCCTTACAAGTTAGTGATGGACAAACTCAGTAAGGGTGCGCCCCCAACGGTCGAGACATTGGAGCCGGCATTCCTCGAGGGAGTAGTGCACACACTGTTCCCAGCAGCGGGGAACAACGACCAGGCTCCGGAATCAGAAGAGGACATCTTGGCCAACGGAGAAGAGGTAGAGGAAGAGTGGCGAGATGGCCTAGAAGTCTCGGACCTCGAGATATCCAAGGCGGCTAAGAGGCTAAAAACGGGCAAAGCCCCTGGCCCTGACGGGATTCCAGGGGTCGCTTGGAAGGCGGCTATGGGGGAAATTGCGGAGAGACTAGGCGAAGTCATGACCGCCTGTTTCAGAAGGGGCTACTTCCCGCAATTATGGAAGGAGGCGAAGATGGTCCTCCTTCCAAAAGTGGGCAAACCGGCGGAGCTCCCATCGAGTTACCGCCCGATCTGCTTGCTCGATGAGGCGGGAAAGGTGTTTGAGAGGGTGATCACCTCCCGGCTTGTTCGGAGTCTGGAAGATGGGGAGGGAGAGGGCCTTCATGAGCGTCAGTATGGCTTTAGGGAAGCCAGGTCCACGGTAGACGCAATCATGTGCGTTCGGGCCCATGTGGATGCGATAATGGGGGAGGGGGGAGTCGTCATGGCTGTGGCGCTTGATATTTCAAACGCCTTCAACTCCCTCCCCCATGCCGCAATAAGAAGAGCCCTACTGAAGAAAAGGGTACCTGCATACCTGTGCAGAACGATAGGGCGATACCTGGAGGGCAGGACGATAACCTGTACCGATAAGAACGCGGACAAAAGAAGATGGAACGCGGAGAGCGGCGTCCCACAGGGATCGGTCTTGGGACCAGTCCTGTGGGACGTCGCTTATGACGAGGTCCTCCGGACCGCCCTGCCCTCCGGCTGCACCATGATCTGCTATGCAGACGACACATTGGTGCTAGCCGGAGGGCGGGATTGGAAAAACGCCGTAGACACGGCGAACATCGCCATCGCATGCGCGGTACGCGCCATCAAGGCGCTCGGACTTGAAGTGGCGGCGAAAAAGACGGAGGCGACGTTCATGCATGACGGGAAACATGGACGGCCGCCGGCTGCACACCTCGTGGTGGACGATACGAGAGTCGATGTGGGGACTCGGATCAAATATCTGGGTCTCCACATCGACGAGAGATGGAAATTTGAGGGACACATCCTCAAAATGGCACCCAGGTTGGGCATGGTGGCCAACTCATTGTCACGTCTGATGCCCAACTTGGGAGGCCCTAGTGGGCGGATCAGGAGACTGTACGCCAGTGTGGTTCATTCGATCATGCTGTACGGGGCTCCAGTATGGTTCGAGGCAGTGCAGGGCAATAGAAAGGCCGTGGCGGCCCTACTGCAGGCCCAGCGAAAGATGGCGATACGTGTGACGCGCAGCTATCGCACAGTGTCACACGCCGCAGCGACACTGATGGCGGGAATCCCCCCTGCTGATCTTCTGGCGGGGGTATACTCAGAGGCGTATGAGCAGATTGCCCGCCTGAAGGAAGAAGGAGTCCCGATAACAGGGAAAATAAGGAGGTACATCAACCTCCAGGCGAGGGAGCGTATGAGGGAGAAATGGAGGACTCGGCTCTCGAGGCCGGACTCAGCAGGCCAAAGGACAATCCAGGCCATACTCCCAAATCTTGATGCCTGGCTCGACCGTTTATGGGCCAGGGCATCATACAGGACAACGCAGATATTCTCCGGGCATGGGTGCTTTGGAGAATATCTGCACAGAATCAAGAAGGAACAGACACCAGTCTGTTTCCACTGCGGAGACGCGGTGGACACGCCGACCCATACTCTTGAGGCCTGCCCAGCATGGGAGACCCAACGAAGGACCCTCATGGGGGTCATAGGAGCGGATCTCTCACTCCGAAGGGTGGTGGAGGCCATAACGGAAGGAGAGCCGGCGTGGAGGGCGTTCTCCTCCTTCTGTGAGCATGTAATGCTGCAGAAGGAGGAGGCGGAGCGCATCCGTAGGGGGGAAGTTGCCCCCCCTCGGGGGACGCAGGGAGGAGGTGCGAGGGTGCGATGGAGAAGAAGAGGCGTTCCAGCGCACCTACGCACATAGAGTACAACGAGGGAGGGTGGCGGTCCGTAATGGATAGCCACCCTCTCTCCCAAAGCGTTTCGGCAGGAAACGCAGAGTGTAGGGGGACAAGCGGCGACCAAGTCGCAAACCAAGTGTCCGCCGGAAGGAGGAGGCAATGCAGGACCCGTAACAGAACGGGCCAGGCATAGTAGAAGCCGGAACAACAATCGGCTCTTCGAAGAGGTGGTCTGGAGGAGGAGGGGTGGGATTCGTGGGATGACTGGCCCCTCCCTGCGGGGAGGCGTCAGTACACCTGCTACCTCCCCCCCTCCCCCAGGACCACCACTACCGGTCACGAAGATCGGTAAGAGAGGGGTGATCTCTCTGCAGGCGCCCGGGACCCGCCGACGAATAGGCCCGGGGTATCTCCTGCCTGTCGTAAGAGGCGACTAAAAGGAGAAACAACCTGGGAAGCAGAGAGGTCCCAGGGGGCGGGGCAGGGGCTGAAGACCCCTGGCTCGCCCGCCCCAACAACATCTAGGAAGCGCGGCGGGGGCCCGGTGGCACCCCCGTCGCGACGCGTTCGCGCGTCAGATGAACGCCCAAACCAATGGGTGTGGCTCAGTCAGAGCCGAGACGGGCGCACCACATCCAGGTGCGCGGCGCCGAGCCGGCCTGGAGATATGCGTCGCAGGCCCCGGCCGGTTCAACATGGCGCTGAGAAGACCACCCCCGGTGGGTTTAGTGAGGTAGGCGCCCTCCATTGCACGCTGGCCTCGGGTTGTCAAATGCCCGAGGTACAGGGAGAGCGAGTCCCACACACCCCCCCGTCCCGTCCCAGCGGGGCGGGGGGACGGTCCATGAGGATTCCCCCGGGTTACAAAAAAAAAAGGTTGGGTGTGGTATATACAAGCCACTCAACACATGGCGAGGATTTCGGGCTCCGCTCAGCTCGCTTTAGCCCTCGAATTGGATTGCCACTCAATTCGTGGCATGGTTCGGAGAGGATCTCCCGCTCAACTCGCGGTTCTCGGGATGACGCTCAGTACGCGTCGTGATCGGAAGGTGTTCGGTATCTCGCTCAGCACGCGAGGTTAGGAAGCGGCTCGGACTCATCTCGTCGTCGCCGTAGGTGGACCTGCTCAACTCGCCGGTCGGGAACTAGTGTCTCGGTGTCTTTTTCGCCGTCTTATATACAAATCGGTTGTAGGTGCGGGATGGAACGGTGCCGGAAAACATGTGCGCGGTGGGGAAGGTGTCCGTTGTTTACGGCACGTTACACCAGTACTGGGAAATAATTGTGTCGCGTTCATGTTCGACGAGATCCGATATGAACTTGATGGTGTGGAGATTGATTGTGCCAGAAATGTTGGAATAACCAGCACGCTCAAGACCTATGCCTCGTCATCATTCGATAAAATAATTATTATGTCTCTGAAGAATGCCGGCTGGGATGTGGTGAACAAGGGAACCGGAGACTTTAATTTTTGTGTGCCGCTCAGCATGCTATTGGGATTCTGTGAAGATTATCAACGCGTGGTGATTAACGCCCGTCACGAATTGATTTTAATACGATCGCGCAATGATAACAACTGTCTCTTTGGAAATGCGGAGATGGAACCTAAACTTAACTTGAAATATTCAAGATACAGTAGCGCATGCCGCATGTGTTGTTAAACGAGGTGAACAAACTGTCGATGCTGCGTGCTTTGGAAAGCGGACAATACCTCAATATGGGATTTCGTTCATGGGATCTGTACGAGTATCTGCTATTGCAACAGACGACTAAACATTCATGGGCTATTAAAACGGCTACTCAGCTCGAGAAGCCGCGGTATCTTATCTTTGCTTTGCAAACAGGTCGGAAGAATATCATGTCACAGAATGTGAGCCAATTCAATCACTGCAAATTGAGCAATGTAAAACTCTATCTGAATTCGGAATGTTATCCATACGATGATATGAATCTGGATTTCGATAAAAACAAATGGTCGAGTCTGTATGATGCGTTTTCGCGGTTCTGGAAGAGCTATTTCGGAAACGGGGTTCTTATGCCTGGTCTCACTACAGGCAATTTTCTAGAACAAGGGCCGTTTGTCATTATCGATTGTTCCCGACAAAACGAGTCGGTCAAGAGCGCGACTGTGGACGTGAGATTGGAATTTGAGTGTAAGGAGAATGTGCCAGTGAATACCACTACGTACTGTCTCATCATACACGATCGCGTGGTTCAGTACAATCCGCTGACAAACGTCGTGCGCAAAATTCCCTAAGTACTACATTTTGGACACAATGGTTTCCCCTCTTTCCAATACAGTTTAGAGGGGATGAAACGATTTAAAAATCTGCTATGCATCAAGAACAATCGCAGTATTCCTTCTTCTCTCGACGTGTTCAATCATGTCCATACCGACGTTTGTGGACCTGCAAGGCTTCGTCGTCAGCGGTAACTTTGTCGTGAAGGAATTTGCCGTTCTCCGAGAGGGACGCGTTCTCTCTCACTACATTTTCACATGTCCCGTACCATGGAGACTTCTCACCAAAGCGGAGCAACATCAGGCATCCTGGTTGATTGCAAATCGTCATGGAGTACGATGGGAAGATGGAATGATTCCATACAGCAGGGCTAGAAGTCTGATTACAACGGCTGTGGTTGACATGGAAGATGATGACGATCTTGAGATACCGTTTCTCGTCTACGTCAAGGGACATGAAAAACGAGCATAGCTGAAGGATATGCTCTTGGATGACGCGAGAGGAGATGTCTATATTGAAACTATTGATGTAGATTATGAGGACATACCATCTCTAAATAAATTGGATGTTGCACATACTTTTCACTGCCAGAAACATGTAACAAATTGCGCTTTACAAAATGTTTTTAAACTTTACAATTAGTGGTTTAACCATAAAAATATGTAACAACATGTGTTATGAAATGTATTTAATTGCTGTAAGCAAAATATATATTATATATCGAAACGGTGTCTATTTTTTCTCCACTCGTATTTCCTTCTCTCCCCGTTTGCATTCTCTTCCTCGCATCCTCTCTCGTCCTATCGCTCCACCCGTCGCGCTCACGTCTATCACGTTTCGTGATTTCTCGCTTACGCCTATCTCGGTTCGTTCATGTCTATCACGGTTCGCGTTTTCTCGCTGCTTCTTATTATGTACTTGGGAAAGGGAAGAGAAAGAAAAACTCTTTTACTAATTATAAATTTTTTAATATATATAAAAATACAATTATTTTACTAAAAATAACTTAGAAGTATCTTATAAATATCTTACAACTACTTTTATAAAATTAAAAGTATAAAATTAAAAGTATCTTAAAAGTAAATATAAAAACAAGAATAGCACGCATATTTAGCAGTTATATAAAGCGATCCCTATACTAATTTAATTTATCTTACAAATATCTTATGACTACCTCCTCCTCCAAGCTTTTCCTATACAACCTACTTATTTCATAATCGCGTTGGTTTATTACGAATGTCTCCAGGCAGTCTCGACATAAGACTGCCGGGATGGTGGTCATTATAAATTTGCCGCACCCATGACAGAATGATTTCAATGTTGTAATATGTTGAACCGGGACACAAAATCCGTGCCACGAGGTTCTCGTCTAATAGTTATTTGGCCTCCCCATGTGGTTGTAGCAATGGCTGCATAGCCGTAGTTTGTCGCTGTCATCGCTAATAAATATCTCCTCATTACTTAATGCTTTTATACATATACCCTGCATATATGTATGGTATGCCTCATAGTATTCTGGTATGACCCCGTCTAAGGGGCCATACCATTCCTGCTTCTCCGCCTCGCTCCTCTGATCTACAGGAGGCCGCATGGTTCTGTAAACATTAAATTCATTAGACCTGAGCGGTGACGATTACGAGCTTGATCTAAAGAATAATTTGAACTTGTGGCGGCCGTAGGCGCCCCTACGGAACGGCAACACGGCCACCACAATACAACTCGCGACCGCGCGCGCGACGCGCGCGAAAACATTCAATCCGAGGGAGACACCCCCGGAGCAAAACTTCACGAGACACCGCTAGAAGCCGCATGAAAACAATAACATTCTCGGAATTGAAAAACGGTGAACTACAGTATAAAAGGGAGCGGAGATAAGCCAACTCTGCGAATCGACTCCAAAGATAATTCACAGGACGTATCGAGGACTCATGCGCACCAGCAAGCCGAGAGCGGTAGTTACGCCGAGGAGACAGCCCCGAGCGGAATTAGCGGACGGAGCACCAACCTACGCCGAGCCGAGCACCGAGCAGTGATGCCAGAATGGTCGCGCTTTTTAGCGCATGCGCGTCGATTTGAGGCTCACTGAAGTACCTACTACGAACAAATAGGTGTATCGCTAGTCGCCCGTAAGAAATTTTCTTAAAGAAAATTCTAAATGATAATTTTTTACTGGCGGTAGACCGTTTTGACGACACATCTTTTTGTCTGCATATAACTATATAAATTACTATATTATACACATTAATATATAAAAATATATTCAATACTTTAAAAAGTGTATATA